TAGAAATTATTTTTTAACGATATTAGTATACAGAATCTTAAGAATTAATTTGGATTTTATTTCTAAAAAGAACATCTAGTAATGTGAAATTAGAAGTGATGAAAAAATAAGCAATGCCAAATTTTTTATAATCTTAAATAAAAAATATTCTCTTTTATTTTCATTTAAAATAAATTTGAAGACATTTTAATTAGGTTTTATATCGAGGTCGTAATTTAAGTTTAATGACTAAATATGTGGGAATTTTAGAATAGTGTGTAGAAATATTCTTTAAAAAAACTTGATGTTTTGTACTTGCGTAAGATTGTAAAATAAATGTAAAAGCCTAAATCACAATGTCTTTGTAGACATCAAAATGTGAAACGTGATCGAAACTGCGCCGTGCAGCAAATCGACCACGCACGTACTAAATTCGATATTCACTTTTCGCTTTGTATTCTTCCTCGGTACTCTCTCCTGAGAGAAAAGCGCCATCCGCAAACCTGTATAGTTCACCACAAAAACTTCGCATGCCGCGATTACAGAGGTGACTTCATAAATAATTTATCAGGCTGACATTCGTGGGGTTTTTTCCACAAGGAGTGTGCATATTACTTAAAAAAATTCTTTTTCTCGAGGAAATATAAAATTAAGATTCTTTCTCCGAAACGAATACGTGCCTTTACTCGCACCTCATGAAATATATAATATAACTATTTAAACATTTAGACTTAATTCGTCCACTTGTCTAGTTACCATTTGTCTAGACGTGCTATTGAAATTACGTGACCTGGCATACATATTTTGGCAATGACGTACTCGCAGAGTGAAATCAATCGATGCGTCCGACATCAATCCCAGGTGCGTGTTTGACTTCCCAAATAGAATGTTGCACAATGACGTTATCGGTTAATCTACCTCGGATACTATCTCCATCGTCGAAGAATTAGGTTGCTGTGCTAAAATTGTGAATATCAGAAAAAATGTAGAAGTAAATAATTAGGAAATGCGACTTAAATACATAAAAAATAATAATGCATTTATATCGATTTTAAATATAATAATTTTGAAGATATAAAAAAAATTAAATAATCTTAAATCTTAAGAAAATAATCTTAAATTTTGTAAAATAATTTATTTTTTTATTAATAATGAATAATTATTTTATATTGAATAATAATTACAAAGGTTAAATATAATAATTTCCTATTTTCTTCATATGCAAAATATTAATTGTATATACATTAATATCTTAACTTTTTGGAAAATGTTCTATATTAAATAATAATAAATTCGCAATAATATTTATTATTCTTATTAGGACAAAAGTTCACTTTTAGCATAAATTTTTTGTTTTTGAAATAGTCATAAAAATATACATAACTTTAATATTTCAAGGAACTATGTAGTTTCCTTGATATAAAAATGTTTGAATCCATTAATAAAATGATAAAAGGATCCGATGATAAAAATTAATAAAAATAATACAGCTGCGATTGTGTTTCGCGTGTCAAGTTTTCTATATGGCTCCATTCGCTTAATCAATTATTTAATCAATTTTAATTTAACTTCATTTAAACTCATTTAAAAGAAAAATTTTGATAATATAAAGCTACATTTCATCGTTATCAGTAGGTCGGACTAAATTAAAGTCAAGGATTTCGTCCGATGTTAAGAAACGGACATCGCTGTCTTCCGAGAGGGCCGATCCGCTCGCTCCTCTTTTATAAGTTTTCCTCCTTCTGATAACAATAATCACAGTCGCAAGTGCCACACAAAGCACGACCAAAGTTGCACCCACTGCGGCGACGATTTCCAGTATTTCGATGCCTCTACCCTGTTTCACCTTTTCCGGATTTTGCTCCGCGGTGTGTAAATCTGCAAATTTTTCTCATCGTCACTAACATAAAAGAGCAGTTAGCATAATCCTAACAACAAAAATGATTATTAAACTGCCATTTTAAATCATCAAATTAATTACATATTATATTATGGTGTATAAATAATTAGTTTTTCAAAAATAAATTAAATTAGTTGGTCTCAAGACGTGCTATTTGTGTTAAAAGTCTTGCATTTTTTTCTTTCGACTTGTCAGCTAATAATTATGTATGTCCTAAGAAAAAGGTTAGTCAATATTTATAATAAATATAGATACATTATACATTTGTGAGAGATGCAATTGTTCAAAATTGATAAGTCTATATCTTAACTTTTTAACTCACTTTGAACTTTCTTCAAGAACTAGACCAAATCAAGACGTCCCATCGCGATTTAATATCAAATAATATTTCTTACTTTCTCAGTATATAATGAAATAAATATACCAGATCGATCTTGAAGTTCTATGTATTTCGTTGTCGAAGTTTTTATCTGGGGTACGAAAGGTGTTTCTTTCGTTTCCGTCTGCTGCGTTAGTTTTGCAGGTGTTGTTCTCCGTATGGTCGGTTTCTTGGTTTGAGGCTTCATTTGAGGTGTTGTAGTCGTAGGTCTTCGCGTTGTCGTTATGGTGTTAGGTCTTCGCGTAGTCGTCAATGTCGTCGAGTTGAACATACCTGGGTCGATGTCATCCTTCGGATTTATAGGAAAGCCTGTCAGAGTAGAATTCTTCACCGGTGCAACCGTCGCTGCACTCGGTGATCCTACTGTGACATTATCGAATATTGTGCTATATCCTGCAATTATAATTAGATTCCAATCATAGAAATGTTACAAAATTGAATGATGTACCATATATGGAATCCAGCGCTATTGTTAATTGTGATTTTACATAATTTGATTTCAATAAGCATATCCTATCAAAACATCCTATTGGGGATCCTATTAAAATAGTAAACAGTTACCTAGTATGCAATATTCAGCGTAATCTGGGCAGCAAATAGAGCGTTCCGCACAATCGATCGTGCAAAGGCAACTCTCCGGTCCAAATGGCGGGACAGAAGCAATGCTTTCTGATGAAACGCATCTGTCTCGACAGGTTTGTTGCGCGTTAACTATTTCGATTTGATCTGAAACAGATTTTTCAGAATATATATTTATGCAGTCTACAATATTTTTCTTTATATATACACAATTTTTTGACAATGACATTAATTTCTAGATATTAATTTCTGTAAAAAATTATTGATATAGAAATAAATATCACATTTCTATATGTACATAGAAATTATTGTCGTATTGTCCAAAAAAATTTTGACAAAAATGATGATTTTATGTGAAATATTAATATCACATTTCTATGAAAATTAATATTATATTGTCAGAAAGAATATCTGCAAAATTTGTTCAAATATTTAATACCCTGTATTTTATTTTACTGCAAGGTAATCGTTGAAATAAAATTGTGACGTCTGGAGTTGACAGTGATCTTCAAACTGAAATATGTTCCAAATATTGTACATAAAATTTATTTTAAAGAAATTTAATTTATACACGTTACTTTTTGCAAATATTTTTTGAAAATTTTGTCAAATAAATTTATATAACACTTGCAATTACTCACTTGCAATCACAAAATACATCAATTTTCAATTTTTAATAAATTAATTTTAATAAAAATTTACCCTCATCGCTTACTGTTACGTTGACAGATTCGTTTTTAACAATACAATCGTCTCCTTGTAAAATAGCGACATCGTCTATTGCAATATCGCTCACATAAGTGATACCTCGCACTCCTTCTATAATAATCTGTAAAGAATGTTTAACTTTTTTTTAATTTGAAGCTAATACTGAAATAATATTATGTGTTATGTATTAACAAAGCAAATAAATCGTATTTAAACATTCAAAATGTAATGAAAGCTTCGACAAGTATTTCTAATTTTCTTTTAATGATTTTATAATAATGCAATATTATATAAAAAAAGAACAATGCTCAAAGGCACAATTTAATTATTTAAGAAACAATTATTTTATGTACCTGAAAGCTGGCGTTAGCTTTTGGTAATTCGGAAATGCCATGGAACCATTGATTTCCTTGATTTCCACTTTTGGTGAATATCAATCGTGGCGTAGTATCCTCTTGCTTGAAATATATATTCAATGAGCCAATTGTGGCACCGTACATATGATACCTATCGAAACAATTTGTAAAATATTAATAAATGAAATATATAAGCTACATTATATATTATATAAATCCTTCATTTCTATATGATATAAGCTAAATATAAAAATTGTTGCAATAAGTATATTGCATTTCTCTATTAACTTTATTTTATTTCATTTCATTTTAATTTAATAAATTTATTCATAAATTTTATTTATTAAAATTGTAATATAAATGTTTTGAAACTTAAACAATTTTATTTATTAAATTTATAATAGAAGTTCTTTTTCTTAAAAAAGTCCAAAAACTAATTGAAGTTGTATAAAAACTTATAAACTGAAAGGATTTATTTTGTATTATATTATTTACCAGAATGAGAAACATCCTGAATTAGTCAATGAAGAATTGTACAGGGGAGATATGATTCTCGCTGTATCGTTTATCAATCGTCCGGATGCCTCAATATAAAGATAATATCCTGAAGTTGTCGAGTATGAGCAATAATTAGAAAAACAATTTATTTCCTTTCTGCGTAATTTATAATCTAGCATTTCGGTGAATTACATTGAAGTTATTTAAAGTCATAGAAAGACTCATACCGTCATTTCCAGCTCCCAAAGTGTGATCGTGCGTCGGACCAGTACCAATATGTAAACTCGGTGTCTCAAAGTTATGACGTTTCCAATCAAAATCGTGTTGTGGGTCTTGTTCCCACCAACAAAGATCCGGATTTTCAAAATCGCATTGTGTCGGTGCGGTTGCGTTCGCCTCTTACCATAGATTATCACAAAAATTGCATTAACACAAATAAAATTTGTGATATTATCATCACAAAGCAGAAAATGTTATCAAAATTTTAATTAAAATTAAGTAAAGAAAAAGCTGAAAAGGAAAAAAGAAAAAAGGCTTTACATGCAATTATGTAAAAGTAAATATATATTACAAATTGAGCAAGCGTATAACATATTAAGCTCCTCAGCTCCAACCTAACAATAATTAAATCATCCCCGAGACTTATTAATCCTCAATTACATGAGTGAGTCATTTGGACCCGGGTGAAAATTTTAGTCAATCGCTATTTTTGTACAGTTATTATTCCAGAGTTGAAGAGTAAGAAGGTAAAAATACTTGGAACCTTTTTCTGTCAATCGCCATGATGTAATTATTTCGTTGTCTAGATGTTAATTGTGATGCAATAAAAGTTTGGTTTGGATAACTTGGATCCTTCAAATGTAAATTAAAAAGATTTTTGACAAAAGTGAAAATTTGTTTTTAGTAAGTGTCTGTTTATTAGTGCTATATTCAAGTATATGTGTTGTCTTCTTATAATTAAAACATATATTTAGTGTCAAAAAAAATCGAGGCGTCTTGATGAAACGATCATTCTATTTTCTCGAAATTATATAATCGTGAGTAAATAATGTCGAAATCATTTTATATTTAATATAAAATATTTTCATAGCATTTTTTAAAATAGGAAAATACCCGACATACCTCCGATATCATTATTCCGCATCCAGAGAAAGGTTTCTTCGATTTAAAGAAATGTTTCTCTGCTATACAGTTAAAGAAAAAACTTCTTTGATTTAAACAAAATCTTTTTACAATAAATCAAATAAATTTTTTTATTTAATTTCAAAAAATAATGTTTAAATAATGTAAAAATATTCAATGATGAGGGTTATATTAAGAGATCATAAATAATACAAGGAACATTTATAAGCTCTTGACGCTCTTTATATCAATATTCGTTTTTAATCCTAACTGATTCTCTTACTTTAAATTTATACTATTCTTATATATTTTTAATGAACTAAAATTATCTATTTCATAGATACTTTTAGTTTATTAAAAATCAAATTAAATTTTTCTGTTTTTTTTTTATTATTTTTTTTTTATTCAATTTTATTATTTATTTTTATCTCTTAAATTTTAACTTATTTCTCTTTTTTTTACTCGTTTTAAACTTAATCTTTTAACGTTTAACTTTACACTTTTAATAATCTGTCGGACTTTTATATCTTATCTTTGAACTTAACAGGATTCTCGACTTTGACCGATGAATTTGTTATCAACAAGTTTTTGCAACATTGACCTTCAAAAAATACGCTAAATCATTGTTTGACATTGGTACCTACATAATTATAACTTTATAATTTATTATTTTTATATCTAGCGTTTGACATAGTCTCTTATCTTTTTTATTTTAATTTTCTTAATTTTTTTACATATTATTTTCTGCATTTTTAATTTATGCTTCTTTTATTTTAAATTATAAGCCTTTCAATTCTCCTTGCCACACTTCATTATTTTATTACCTTGTCATAGTTTTTCAAACTAATGAAGACTAAATAATGTTGAAATGTTTTTATTATGTTGTTTATTTTCTCAGAGAATAAATAAATTAATTAAGTCTTGTTGCGTAATATCCGTTATTGCTTATTTTCGTGCCAATACTGCTGTTTTTTTACTTTGCAAATTTGTAAGACTTATATTACGTTTTTATAAGTAATTATTTTTTTGCGCTAATTTTTTGTAAGTATATCCTTTACCTTGATTGTAGAATGCAGTGCATTTATTAGCATTTATAGCAAGCAAAGCAATAATAATTAAATAAAATTAGTTTTTTATTGCAGTACTTCGACAATAAGGAATTGTTCCATTCCATTGACGTCCATCGCAATAAATTTCAGGGTTACCAATCAGGAAGTAACCAGGTTCGCAGAAGAACATTAATATTCCACCATTTAATTTTTGTACTATAATTGAGTGACTAGGCGCTGATGGTACGGGACATTCCGCGTCTAAACACCAAAAAAAATAAATCAAATCTATTAATCATCTTATCTCATTTAAAATTTAGAAAATACGTTGCATTTAATATTTACTATTATCAATAATTCCTTCATTAAAACTGATTAAAATATATTGATAGTGCAAATCGTTACAGTGCAATTATTTTATTGCACTTTTCTATTATTATACATTACTCTACAGACATGTTTTATTTTATAATATTCTAATCAAAATATTTAGTATCGGAGAACCTGTTAAGAGAATTTCTGCACACCTAGACATTAAATTATTGGAAATTAAACTATTTTAAGAAAAACGATCGATCAAGAAGTATTACAAATGTCGCGTTACATAATCCGTTAGCATTATTTAATTAACAATTTCGTCAGTTATTCTTACATTAAATTTTACTTACTCACACACACGGGGACAGATGTGTCCCATTGCCCACGTACACACGTGGAATATTTGTTGCCCACAAGAGTAAATCCATCGAAACAATTAAACCTCGCGATTCTACCTCGACCTCGAATGCGAATTCTTCCGTTGTTCAATCGTATCATAGGACATCCTCCTGAAAGAAAATTATTATTACAAAACCGTTAATTAATCCAAGAATAGTCACCTGATTTTTTCTTTACATAAAGCTTGTCCCTGCAGGTCTATTATGTATCTTTTAATACACGTTTCATTATCGTTATAACGTTGCTGCGCAGTTTTTTTACCATAGTAAAAGAGCTGCGCAGCTGCGTAATAATAAAATTTATATTAAGAGTTACAGAATAAGCCTGCAAGTGTTTTTATTATATTTTAATTAAAACCACTATTATTTACCACATATTGTATATTATTATTAATTTTTTCCTAAATTGTATTTGGAAACATTATAAATTTAATCACAATTTTTTGAAAAAAATAAATAGATACTAAGGAAATATTAAACAGAATAAGTATGTTAAGTAATTAATTACTTAATTATGACAGTATTTCTAAAAAATAAGGATTTTAATTAATACGATGTTTTTTAATTGCTTTTGATGGAATTACATATTTAATGTTCGTAAAAAATAATTACTAAAACAGAAAAAAATATGTTAAACAATGTATGTATAAAAAAATATTTTATAATAATTTATACTTTTTTGCCGGAATATAAAAATATCTCAGGTTATTATTTTATAAAACTCCAACATTCTTTAGTATAACAAGATTAGATAATGACAATATAAGATATACAATAGTAAACGCGGAAAAATAAAAATGTATTTTTATAGTTATATATGATATTAGTATAATTTTATAATATATTGTCAATCAAGTATAATATTTATTATTAATTTTTCTAATAAAGCAATTTTCTGTACTAAAACAAATATGTCATAATAATGAAATAAAATAGCATAATTATTTATTGAGTTAGTTATTTATTATTATTATTTATTACTATTAGTTATTATTGTTAAATGCATTTGTCTTTAAATTAATGCTCTCCTAAATTTATTATGCAAGTATGAAAGCAATGACATTTCAACTTCGAGCGTAACAATAATTTTCTCCGATAAAATAAATTTCTCTTGTGAACATTAATAATTATTGTAAAGAAACAACTCACTATTATACTAGGAAAAAATGAATCTTGAATAAAACTATCAAATTGAGGCATGTTTTCAACGGCAGTTAAATATTTTATTTATATGAAAAGTATAACAAAAATTTAGTTGCGTCTGTAAAACATTTTTCTGTTTTAGTCGTTTTTCTCCTTTGTAAATAAACAAAAATATTTGTTTATACCAACCAAACAATTTAGTTGGAATAAACAAATACTTTATTATTTACGAAGCAAAAAAATTCGCAAAAACAACTAAATTATTTGTTACATAAATAAAATATTTGGTTTGCTATTAAGAAATGCTTCAACTTACAGTTTTGTTAAAAAACAAAAAATTTTTTTCTAACATGATTTTATAGAAAAATATTGCGTTCATTGCAAGTCATAATATCGCTTTATTGTTTCATCCTATACTTTATTCAAATTCAAATTTTTTTTTAATTAAAAATACTTGTTATTTTAATTATTTCTGCTTACTCTGCACCTGCCAAGAGCAAATGATGTACTGGCCGAAGAAAGCGAATAGCAACAATATTATCGAAGAACACTTCATCTTTATGCAAATATGTGGGATGCACATGCATGTACGTAACTCGCACACAATGAATTAACGAGAAATCAATATTAGATTTTATTGCGAGAAAATTAGAAAGATGTATTTTATTTCAAGAGCAAACACCGCGGAGACACCGCCTCTACTTCAAAATAATATACAGAATCTGTGGTTTTAAATACTTCCGGTTTCACACGCTGCTTCACACAATAACCACAACAACGATAGCGTTGCGAAGCTGCGCGAGGATGTTTCCGACAAAGAAGAAAATTGGATTTGCGCAATTAAACGCGGCGAAGACATAAATGGAGAGCCGAGATTTCATCCTTTTATTTGGGGCTAGACTTGTGTAGCCGAGGGCGGGAACACAGTTTCCGCTGGCACGCGAGCGATAGCCCTTTTATCGTCTTCCGGTGCTTTATCTTCGTCGTGAGTCGCCAGGCCTTGAGGAAAATCCCTGGAGATTGCATTTCGCGCGAAACATGTCCGGCGCCAACTCGATAATCTTGATTCGGGATACGAAATTTTCCACACGTACTGCCTGATTCTACGATTTATCAAGATCGTAATCTAGAGTCTAAAGTCCAGGAGAATCTAAAGAAGCCCGAATCCATCAAATTCGTTGGAAGAAATATTATCTTCCTTTCGTTTCAAAATCAACTTTTACATTTCGATTTTGCTTTAAGGATACGAATTCTTTCATTTTTATTTCTACATCATACGTATATACTTATAATAATTTTAAGAAATGTATTCTTTTATAATTCAATTATTGCTAATCTTTCGTTACAATGCTAATTTAGTTCTAATATACAGTATAAAGAAAAAAAAAAAAGAAAAGAAAAGCAAAAAATAAAACAATAATACAAATTGTTTTTGAAGCAATCGTCATCGAAAAATATGCAAACAAATGTGTCGAAAAATTTTTTTAATGCAGTTTCTTATTTTTAAATCATCATTGTTATTATTTCAAAAATTATTTTTATTATAATTTTTGTTATGCTCATGAAGAAAAGGTTTTATGACTTTCTAAGAGAAGAATAATCCGAAGCCTCTTTAGCTCAGTGGTAGAGCACTGGTCTCGTAAACCAGGGGTCGTGAGTTCAAACCTCACAGGAGGCATTTTTTTTGCGTCTTGTTTATATTACAAATATATCATTTTTTATTATTTTTCAGAAATACTAAAATGCTAACGTGCATAATGCACCTATTAATTTTTTGATACTATCAATTTTTTATATTCTATTTTTTAACTACAGTAAAAAACGTAAATTTGATTTTATTCATATTATGTATGATTTTATTCATACATTGTATGCGCATGTTTTCCTTCCTCTATTAAATTACATAAATTATAATATGTTTTAATTTTTAATTTGTATGAATATTTTAATTAAAATTTTTAATTCTAAATTAATTCATTTAATTAATTAAGTCCTCTAATTAGAGATTCTTAATTTAAATTAAATTTTAAAACATTTCTTAAAAATTTAACATTTTTTTAAATAAATTAATTATGAAATAAAAAAATTTTTAAACTTTCATGCGTCATGAATTAATTGATAAACTCTTTGTATCCAGTTGACATTGATGAAAAATTAAACATAAGCGAGATTCGATACAAATAGCAATTTAGATAAGATTCAAATTCATTGATGAAAAATACATACAAGTTTTATATTTTTTAATTAACAATCATAGTGCATGAATATGTAGATATGGTATAGCTGACGGAATCGGCCAAAAACATCGAGAGTAACGCCGGATTACGGAAGTGTCGAGACGCCATATATTCGAAATCTACCGTTACCTAAATGCCGAACGTGACCGGTGCAGCGCCACATGTCAACCGGCATTGTCTCGTTGTTTCCTGCAGTTTCCCGCTGTTCTATTTTCGTGACTATTCGAGGTGACACTGGACAGATATTAACAGATATTCATCGAGATGGATAACGATTTACCGTACATGGTAGAGTACGCGAAAAGCGATCGCTCGAAGTGTCAATTATGCAAGCAATCAATTATGAAGACGAGTTTAAGACTCGCCGCCGTTGTTCAGGTACGTGTCGAATTTTGCAACAAAGAAACCGCGCAAATATATTGCACCTCATTATGCTCAGTATTAATGGGGAGCATTTCGTAAAGAAGCGAATGCGTGCATTATCATTGAACTATTGATCTTGAGTAATGATAAATAAAGCACCTGATGTTGTCAATTTAGATAATTGTGTCACATACGTGATGCTATTGCTATCACAATTCTTGTTGAATTATTCAATTATTTATGTACAATTGCTTTCTCTCTCTGCAATGTTTTCTTATTCGATTATAAAAAGATTATCAGATTATAAAAATTATAAATATTTTTTTGCTATATTACTTGAAAAACTAAAAACAAATGTATTTCTTTTCTTACAATGTAACATTGATGCATTCTTTATTGTTTTTGTAATTCATTTTAGACAACAAACTAAACACTAAATATAGTTAATCATGCTTAATATTAAGAAATTTTCTGACTTAAGCTGTACTTCTGAGATGATGTGTTTAAAAAAATAAATCTTATATAAACATAATATTTTTAGAGTCCTGTTCATGATGGGAAGATACCTAGATGGTATCACTTCAAATGCTTCTTTTCAAAACAAAGACCAAGTTCCACTAATGACATAGCTTGTTTCGATCAGATTCGCAATAAAGATCAAGATGCAATTCGAAAGAAAATTGGTTGGTGTATGACCCAAGCAGAACCTATAATTTTAATTAAATTGTTTGATCATCTTAGCTATTTGTTATGTTTTGACTTGTAGAAGAATGTCGTAATGCACCTTCTGTATCAAAAGGAAGGAAAAGAACAAAAGGTGGTGCTTCTGGAGATTTTAGAGTGGAATATGCTAAGTCTAGCAGAGCCACTTGTATAGGATGCCAAGAAAAGATAATAAAAGGCGAAACAAGAATAGCAAAGAAAGATTATGAGAGCGAAGAAGCTAGGAGGTTTGGTGGTTTGGACAGATGGCTTCATGTGGAATGTTTCGCGAAACTAAGAGCGGATATGGGATATTATGGCAGAGGAGATGAACTTCCCGGTGCCAAACAACTCTCAAAAGAAGATCAGGCAAATCTCAAAGCTTCATTGCCTAAAATGAATCAAGGCGATGTACCACCACCTGCTAAAAAGGTTAAGGATGAACCAGAAGATATAGAGGAAGCAAAGTTGATAAAAAAACAAAATGATGAGCTATATGCTATAAAAGATAAAATATCACATCTTGGAAAGAAAGAAATGAGTGAATTATTAGAAGAAAATGATCAAGGGATTCCAAGTGGTACATCAAATGTAAGTGCTGCATAATATATATTTGAATTATACACTTAATAAATATTTTTTAATTGTAAATCTATTATATGACTTTTAAGCAAGTTATATCACTAAGGGTTTATAATAGTACTAATCAGATTTTATTTATAGATCACAAGTCTCTTAACTGATATACTATATTTTGGAGCTCTACAACCCTGTCCAAAATGTAATGGACAGCTCGTATACAATTCTGGTTTGGGTTATAAATGCACTGGCAATGCAACAGAATGGAGTAAATGCGAGTATGTTACACAAGATCCAAAAAGGAAACTATGCAAAATACCAATTGATATGGAGGCATTTCCAATTAAGTACGTTCTCTCATCAGAATATATGGAACTTAAATAAATTAATTTTATGCACCTCTTTATTTCAATATTAATAATTACGATATGAAGATGAATTATTAATAATCATAATTTATTTATAGATCATACAAATCTAAGATAAGAAAACGAATATTTAAAATAACAATGCCGTCTTCGTCGGGTGTTATTAAAAAAGAGGAAGATGAAGCAGATGGACCGAAAATACAAGGAAAACCACGTCCTTTAAAGAACATGCAGTTTGTTATATTAGGTCGTACACAGAAAGATAAAGAGGAATTGAAAAAGGAAATTTTATTGTTGGGTGGTAGTGTTGTAACAAAAATCCATCAAGATTTGGCTGCTGTAATTTCGAATCAAAATGAAGTGGATAAGATGAATAAAAGAATGGAAGATGTTAAATTACACGACATTCAAGTAATAACGGAAGATTTTATAGAAGAAGCAAAAGAGTACACAGATTCTCCCATCATGCTGCTAAAAAAGAAAACTATTTCTAACTGGGGTGGCGACATTAATGCTAGACTTTCTAATGTTATCACAAAATCTGCTTCTAAGAGTAAGAGCAAATTTGAGAAGTCAGGTTCTGGTAAAATGAAGGTAAAGGTGAAAGGCGGTGGAGCTGTCGATCCCGATAGCGGTTTAGAAGATGTTGCACATATTTATCAAAAAGGCAAAGATAAATACACTGTCACGTTAGGTCTAACGAACATACAATCGAAGAAAAACAGTTATTACAAGCTGCAAATTTTGAAACATGACAAGCATGAAAAATATCACTTGTTTAGAAGTTGGGGCCGAATTGGTACTACAATTGGCGATAACAAATTGGATAGAATGTCTTTGGAAGAGTGTATAGAACAGTTTGAATCGTTGTATGAGGAGAAGACGGGTAATCAGTGGAAGAATAGAGAGCATTTTGTCAAAGTACCGAATTTGATGTATCCGATCGAGATAGATCATGGGGATCAGGAGGTTATTTCCCTAGATTCAGATATTAAGAGTAATTTGCAGAAACCAATTCAGGACCTGATGCGCCTTATTTTTGATGTAGATGAGATGAAAAAAGTTATGTTGGAGTTCGAGATAGACCTGGATAAGATGCCGCTCGGAAAATTGTCTAAGAAACAAATTGAGAAAGCTTATGCCGTTTTAACGGAGTTGCAAGAGGCGTTAAAAATAATGACTGATGACGTGGATCGCGCTACATTGATCGATGCTTCCAATAGATTCTATACACTGATACCACACAATTTTGGAGTTTCCGGGCCAAAAATTCTTGAATCATTGGAAGAAATCAAGACCAAGTGTGATATGCTGGATGCATTGCTTGAGATGGAAGTCGCGTACAATCTTTTGTGTGATAAGACTAACGAAAAAGAGAATCCACTCGATAGTCATTATAAGCAGTTAAAGACGGATATCGAAGTAATGGATAAGATGAGCGAAGAATTTAAGATGATCGAGAAGTATGTCAAGAATACTCATGCAGCTACTCATAAGCAGTACGAACTCGAAATCAAGGAAGTGTTTATTATTAAGAGACAAGGAGAAGAACAGAGGTTTAAGCCTTTCAAGAAAATGCCCAACAAAAAGTTGCTCTGGCACGGATCCAGAACTACGAATTACGCAGGAATATTGTCTCAAGGTTTGCGCATCGCACCGCCAGAAGCGCCCGTTACTGGTTACATGTTCGGCAAGGGTATATATTTCGCCGATATGGTGTCGAAGTCTGCAAATTATTGTTGCACACATAGCCAGAATCCAACTGGTTTGTTGCTGCTTTGCGAAGTTGCTTTGGGTAATATGTACGAGAAGTATCAAGCGGACTACATCGAGAAGCTACCGAAAGGAAAACATTCGACATTGGGTCGTGGCCAGACGCAACCTGATCCGCAAACTGTCTACAAGACCAAGGACGGCGTTGAAATACCTTATGGAAAGGGAGTACCTGCTAAACTTAATAAAACTTCGGCATTATTATACAATGAATACATCGTATATGATGTTGCTCAGGTAAGAGTACGATATTTAGTAAAAATGAATTTTAAATACAAATATTAAAATACATAATGAAATACAGTTAAGGTTTTTTAATTTCATTCCATTTTATTTGCTATATTATTAATTTAATAAAAATAAAAACTAATTAACTATAAGAAAGATAAATACTAAATTCCATTGAAGAGTTTGCTAATATCATAACTGTTAAAACTTCACAGAACTGTTTTACCTTTGATATGATGATAATCTTTAGAATTATGTGTTGTAATTGTCTGCAATTTGTTTACGCGCACCAAATAGTGTTTGCCTACCTCGAATATTGAATGTAAGATCAATAAATTTTTCACAAAATTAAATGTTTTTTGTTCTTTACTTTGAATACGCATTTCCTTATCCAACCTCTTGCATTAATATTGTTAAGTCATCAAATAAATTATAACAATTTAATAAGATTTAAATTTAATAAGAGTTTGAAGTAAATATATGCGAGATAATTCGAATTATTTTTCCTATAATATATTTATTACTAATTCTCTTGTGAATTCTCAAGATTGTGCTTAACGCAACGCATCAACACGTCAAATAATGCATGAATGTTTAGATACACGATGCGTACTTCCATGTTTTTTTCTATAATGTATTTCATAATAAGCTTTGTGACGCTATGTGATATTTTGTACGTGTTTACTAATTTCTCACACGTAATTGTAGAATGTAACATGGTAAAAGATCATATTTGAATCATTTTGCGCAATCAATATGTGAAATCTGTGACAATAAGTAAAACCTGTTTTTTAGCTATACACTTCCTCGACTTTGTGTGCATAGGACGCGCATGCACACATTTAATTACATCAATTACATATGACCTTTTACTATGTTATGTTTACTATATTCTATAATTACTTTTATGACATAATTAGTAGACACATACAAACACAGATCAAAATTTACAAAGTGCATCAATGAGTATTGAAATGCATGTCAGAATGTATACATGTATTTGAAAAAAATCAGTTGAAACAACTTTAATAAACACGATATAAATATATTTTTTAACGAATACAAAGAATAAAAGTATAGATAATTGAAGAATATGCAGTATTATAAAAATAATTTATTTTCTTTTTGATTTTGTATTGATTTTTCTTTTAAATTTAATGTAATCTAGCGTATAAAATAATTATTGTATGTATATACATACGAGTATACATGTTTATTCCCTTACGTTTACTCT